TTCTAGCGCCCTTCAGCCTCCCGATTGTCAGGTTTCATACACTCATTAAACTGTTGCAACAAGTCCATTTGTGTTACCTCAGACGTCGTCTATGAGCATCCAGAAGAACACTACGCCAATAGACGGATCGCTGCACGGCGCCGGAGATTCCACGGTGGGGATGGAACGTATGAAGCGACGAACCTCTTGGGGTAAAGGGCGTTCTATGAGCCGACTAATTCGGCCTTGGTACGTATGCTTTTCTCTCTTGTTTCTTTTTTTTCTTGATTCATGTTGAACAACATTCCGGTCAGGTCGTTTTTTGATTATTTAATAAGAAACTTATATGCGAAGACGAAAATTTGGTAGGTACCTAATATAAACCCGACTATTTAGTCAACCACTAAACATTAAATCTCGTTTTACTAATTTATTAAAGATTTGTCAAGGTACAGCAGTTTTATAAAACATGGCCAGATCCATGCTGTTGAAATGAGAGAGCGCCTTGAAATAAGTAAATAGGCTTTACTGAATTAAAAATTACACGCACATTTTCTACAATGTTGACACTGACAATAAACCATGAAGTTTCACCACAATATGAAACTATAATTCTATGCGTTATTATTCTAAAAATAAATACCTTATTTTTAATTTTACAAAGAAAACATCCCAATTTACGCTACATTAAATATATTAACTGCCTCCGTGGCTGAACGGTTACCATGCCGGACTGCCACGCAGAATTCCCAGGTTCGATTCCCGGGCCGGGAGAAATGTTTGTATGGCTTACATTTATTTCTCTCGTGAGTTTGGGTGTAATTTGTGGTTGTCTATGTGTGTGTGTCCATGGTACCCGCGACACAGGGTTTCCCTAGTGCGGGGCTATGTTGAGTGTGTGCGTTATTTATTTATTTATTTATTAAGTTTTACAAATTATTTTATTGAATGAACTTTTGTAATAATCAACACTTAAATACTTTTTAAATATCGTCCAAAAAGAATTATATACTTCTAAAAAAATGTATTCTTCTCTAGTCAAATCAATTGAAATTTGTTATAGGGGTAGTGTGACCAGGTACTAGCTAACGTGAAATGAGCCATTTTTGTATTTGTTCTTAGATTACGTCATTATTTTAGAGCTAATTTAATTTTTCTTTCTTTTCGACTAAAATATTAAATTTTCTAAAAATTCCTGACTGAAAAAGAATGTACTGCCAGAATTTTGCTGCTAGCCATTGACGTCAATGCTGCTAGCCTTAAAAATACGTAAGACGTGTGATTGTTTACACATAAAATTGTGGTGTTGTAATTATTGTAACATCGTTAGAAATTAATATCATGTGGACGAAGTTACTAAAATTTACGATTACTATCAAAAAACGTTATTTGAACTAATTTAACTTAATTTCTTCAAAGTATATACACACATCAAAAAAAGTTTGCGATCAATAGCATAAGCTCCTATAATTCTTTAAATTTAACTTTATCAAGAAAAAATCTATGTTGTATGCTTTCTTTAAATAGGAATACCCTGTTTGAAATTAAAATATAAAACTATTTTTTATTATTTATTTTAAAAAATTGAGCCATTAATCATAATGTAATAGTGATAGAAATTTCATAGAAAGAAAAAGACTATTTAATTAAACTTAAACAACAATTTATTATTAAAAGGTGTGAATTCAATATAAAATAACTCCTCCCCTGGCTCGAATACATGCGAAGATCCTCCTGGGCATGCTGAGGATCAAGTTATCCAGCATTTCCTAGGGTAACCTATCCCATTCTTCAATAGCGGCTTCCCTGAGCTCTGGAACTGTCTGGGGACGTGGCTCACGGTTCCATACTGCTCGTTTAAGAGCATCCCACGCGTGCTCTATTGGGTTTAAGTCGGGCGAGCCGGCAGGCCAGTCTAATCGTGTGATATCGTATTCTTGAAGAGCAGCATTGACTCGTTGAGCTCGATGTGCGGGCGCAATATCATCGACCAGTACAAATTGGTGCCCATGGTTTACTCGGAATGGTCTGACGATATCATCAATAGCAACTACTTTGTACATGTCTGCTGTCATGAAGCCCCGATACGGGATCAAAGGCGTTCTAGCTCCAATCATAACGCCACCCCAAAAGGACACCGATTTTTCGCCTTGCTGAACTGTTCCAGTGGCAGTTCTTTGTCTTTCACGGTCGCCTGGTCTTCTCCAGACACGGACACGTCGGTTATCTGGATGAGTGCTGATTCGGGATTCGTCAACGAAGAGACAGTTTTGCCAAATGTTTTCGTCCTCACCTTCTTCATTTTGCCGAAGTCTAGCCCACTGCAATCTTCGTTGTTGACGTTGCCGGGAATTGAGCGGAGCTCGCCAAGACCTCCGTGCTCGTAATCCAGCCTGGTGCAAGCAATTGCGAACGGTCTGCGTGCTAACTTCAAGCCCAGAAGCGGCCCTGACTTCTGCTTTTATTTTAGTGGCGTTGATTGTTGGATCACGGGCTGCCAGCAATCTAATATAGCGCTTTTGGACAGCTGTCAAAACAGTTGGGCGACCGCTGCGGGGTCGGTCAGCTAAATTCCCCATTCCGTGATACCTCTGCAACGTAGCCACGACACAGGATTGGGATATAGCAAGTCTGCGTGCTATTACTCTCGTGGTGTATCCTTCTTCCCTCAAAGTTACTATTCTAGCTCGTAAAACCTCTGATAATCCTCTTGGCATATTTTCAATCACAACTTTCCGCGAAAAATATCTTGAATCGCTTATAATTGACTAAATCAGATTTCTGAATGAGCGTAAGCTAGGACTGAAAGCCTTTTTATATGAAAAAACAATTGAACGGGGTCATTGTTTTATGTTCTAATTTATTTTTAAATAAAGAATCTAAAAAGAAGAAAAAATCATAATATAATCTACAGTAACAAAAAAGATTTCAGTTTTTCGAAGTGATCGCAAACTTTTTTTGATGTGTGTATGTATACGTATATAACTATAATATATATATAAAGTTGTATTTGTTCGAATATGACAATATTCCACTATGACAATTCATCAAAAAGTTTGCCACCCCTGACACGGGGGAAGAAGAACATATGTTTCTCTTACCCCGTAAGGACTAGACTCTCTTACCCCAACAATGTTTTTAGCGGTTAGGATTTTGATTTCAATGAAACACTATTTGTTGTTTTTGGTCTGAAATAACTAATAAAAAGTAAAACTTACCGTTTTCTCTACGTGTTTTTCTATAAAAATAATCTCCAGCACTTTTTTTCACCAAGATCCAGCCAAGAAAAAAATTACGCGCCCATCTCGTGTTTTCAGACTACACAACAGTAAATTTTGTTTTCTCTCTCTCTCAAATTTAGAACACCGTAGCGACATCTTTTTACAACCGTTAAAACTAATTTGTTTGTCAATTTTATCGACTGAGAGACTATAGTGCTAAACGCTTTATTTTAGGTATTATGGACTTTGTCCCTCTTCCCCCGGTGTTCCTCTTACCTCACCCTGATCTTATATTGCAAAATAACATTTCCAGTTTATAACATTAGTATTATCATGTGGTATCAATTCAAACAAATTGACTATATTACATATTTAAAACTGTTGATGGCGACACTTGGATAAAATAAAAAATATGAAACATTGAAATCTTAAAAAAATTGTGGCAAGTCGTACTAAGCAAAAAGTATAAAATATAGAAATAACTGCAAACATTTAAACAATATTTTATTACCAATTGCTATAATTATTATTGATGATAACAGTAACTCGTCGAAAAGTTAACATATCAATGGTTTCTTAATGGTATACTTTTTTGTATATATTAATGTATATATTAATTGTATAGATAGCTGTTGAATTTTCTCTTTTTGAATTTATTCTCAAAACTAAATAAAGTTTTAGAACTTTTACTTAAAAATATTAAGAGCACAGACTCGGCTTCTTTGCAATTTTACTACATGTTATTGTATATACATTCCCAGCCACATAATTCTAACCACTCTAAGTTTAAACAATGTTTGATTGATTACAAATTATTACGCAATTTTGAAACTAGTATACTAAACGTTTTATTCATAAGTCCTTGTTGGAAATTTGGATTTACAAAACCAATGAAAAACTTTCTCGTCAACGATAACACTAATTTTGTATTTGTACTTAGCCCTTTAAGACAAAAATGCGAGGTGGCTCCAATTATGTGTCCGGGAGTAAATAATCAACACCTGTATGGACTGTCTGTACAATTTAGTCAGGAGAAGTCGTCTGCTCGCATGGGAGGTTTAGTCAGGGCTGCCCTCATCGTCCTTTGTCAAAGAAAGGAAGGTCAGTCGTCGACTTTTGCCCATAAGAAAGTCAGTCTAATTTCGAATTCCTGTCAGTCTAGTAAGTCTGTTTTTACGGCCTGTCAATCTGGTCATCCATGGAGGCTGGATGTGACAACGCCCAAACAAGATCAGTAACTTTGATAAAAATGTAATAGCTGCCATCTTATGGCATTTTCAAATACTATTACAATCGCATCGGATGTGCACCCAGTGCCATCTGTCAATCAACATTGATAATAAAAATAAATTAAGCGTCCGAATATGCAGAGGCAGAGTTACAGGTGCGACATTTCTTTGTATGAAATTGGGTATCAGTACTAGTATTATATTATACGTGGTATTACAGAAAGCAACAGAAAAAATTACAGTAGTATAATTCACTGCATCTAGCAATGTTACATGCACACAGATGCGCATGTCTGTACAGTGCCCTTCCTAGTTCTCAAGCACACAATACATGGGATGTGGCACCACATTGTCTGTTGCGAATGCTCCATCTGCCTATTGTTTTGTAATCTGGAATTGCTAGTATCACACTTGTAGGGTTTCTCTCCAGTATGAAAATGTGTATTTAACTGGTATTTAGAAGCAAAACTGTTACTGCACTA